ATGTCTCAATCTGTCTCTCTTTGACTAAATAGTTTCCGTCGGAAAATTTATTCCTCAGTAAGGAGATATTGTTTTCAATAAGGCCTAAAGGATAATTATTTTCTAGGAATGCATTTGTCAGCCATTCCAACTCTTTAGTCAAATGTTTGCTATCCGCTAATTTCATACTTCTAGGAATTATTGACTTTAAAATACCAACCTTAGTTTTGTAATTATGGTTGGAAAGAAAATTAAGCAAAGAGCCAACATATGTTGGCTTCCTACCATATGATAAACGAAAGGCTAGCACTTTTCCACTGACACCGGAGAAGAAAATCTTATGTACTGCTTCAGCCTAAACGCCATCTCGAATACTATCAGGCACATTCACACAAAATGAAAGTCATCACGACAAATTTCTATTTCACAAGCCTCATCGACACCCTGTCACACTTGGTATATATTTGCCCCGAGTTCTTGCAGACATCTCATAGAGCCATAACTCATATGTGACATCCCCAGGCCATGAGATGCCTTTACTGCCATTACAGCTAGTTATAGTAGGATGGCGACTATCAAGGATCAAAATAAGAGTAAAAAAATGATACGGTGAATGTCAATAATTAAAATGGTCTATATTTATATGATGTGAAAGCTTGATTTTAACAGTGTATTTCAACCTGAAATGCATCCCAAAATGCCGCATCTTATGAAGAATACGAGATGGCATTCAAGGATGCAAACCGACGTCGAATTGGTACTTGATGGGCGCCTGATAACTGGTGCACACGCATCCCTCCATGGACACACATTGAGCCGTCACTATCTACCGTCACGTTGGGGTCACACGAGTGGGCAGGTGACCACCAGTTAGATGGAGCCCAGCAGTTGGGGCCCTGCGACCGCGACGACCGTCCATCTCGCAACAGTTGCCTCCTGTCAACGGTCTCCTTTGGCCAGACGTCAACCGACTGCCGGCGCAAATATCGCATTAATCACCGACACAACTTGCTGTCTCTAGGCCTCACCTGTACAAGGCGGCAGCAACTTCTGTTTTGTCTGTCACCAAGTCGCTTGTCGCGGCCAGGCTCTTCTACCCTTTGACCTGTTACTTCACCCTCGGTGCAGTCGTTGGGCCGACCCAATCGGTCATGTTGGCAAGGTGGGACGCAGGCGAGACCTGAAGCGTCAGAGACAGGAAACAGAGAGATGAGCAGCTGAGTAGCCAGTAGAAGGGTATTTGTAGTAGAGTCGGGGGTCAACTCGCAAGAGGGCCAGACGGATGAAGCACGAGGAAAAGGCCGGGGTGAGAAATATAAGAAAATAGGTTCATACGAGTAGCTATTGAGAGTAAAGAATAAATGGAATTCAAGGATATCCTGGAGCCAAATCGTCTAATTTTTGGATTTAAACTCATTCATCAGTCTCTAAATCATCTTAGGCGAAATAAGGTGACTAATTTATTATGCAAGAATTACTGATAGTTTCGAATGCTACTCATATGGGAATTAAGTAGCGTCGTCTAATGCAATGGCAAATAGATGTTTGCTTCATCGACATCCCAACTATTAAAATATGACTTCCTTTTAGACAACTTGGTTTTGTTGTATAGAAGTTGCTTGACCTTAGAGGAACGCACCTAGTCTGGAGTCCATTGTCTGAATAAGCAATTCCAAAGTTGAACCGTGGACGTGGTACATTCCAAAACGTTTCGCCATTCTTAGCAGCATACAACAACTCGTCAAAGAGACAAGTGACGCCTACTTTTGACCAAACATGTGCTAAGCAATTGTGGTATCTCCCCTTCTGACCTGGGTTATTCGCGTTTCCTGTGTCATTCTATCATACCTTCACTATTACAATTTTACCGTGTTTATTTAGATATAGTTTAGTGTGCTCCTTTGAGCGACATCACACCTTCACACTCCAACTGTCGTTCTCACCCCCCTACCCCCCTTCATCCTTTCGCAGGGAATGTTGATCAGAGTCTTTATTATTATGCAGTCCTCTTTCCCAGTTTTATCTAAGTCTCTCTCTTGCTCCGTAAAATCCGTCTGCTCTACTCCT